TCTGTATTCTAAGGGCCCTCTCAGCTCTGACATCCTGTGTTCTAAGGGTCCTCCCAGCTCTAACATTCTATGTTCTCAGGCCTTTCCCAGCTCTGACATTCTACTTCTAATGACTCTTCCAGGGTCAATATTCTCCATTCCAACATTCTCTTTTCTGTGTCCTAAGGTTCCTTCCAGTTCTAAAGTTCTATGAGTCTGTAATTATGAATCAAGCTGCTCTGGAAGTTCAGAGGAGGGAGTAATCATTATGGACCCAGGTAGTAAAGGAAGGCTTCCCAGAGGGAGCAACCATTGAGCTGGGCCTTGGAAGACAGGTAGGATCTGAATAGACAGAGAGGAGTGAATTGGATGCTAGCGGCCCAAGGAAAGGCTCAGAGAGAGGACAAAGAAAGAATATGTTTTCAAAGCAACCAATCTCTTGGCATATCATGAGTCTAAGAATACTAGAGTTGTGAGGGGACCCAGAGAGAGGGAGTGAATAAAGATAGGCAGGGTGGAGGGTATAACAGGAAAAGCTTCCAATTGGGGAAACTGTGACCAGAGCTTCTCCTGCCCTCAATCCCCCACTCCTACCCTTTGCCAGGTTCTGGCCATCGATACCAGGCAAATGCCGTGCACACCAGCAGAGCCTGCAATGTCATCAGCAAGTACACAGCCTTTGTGCCCATGGACCTCAAGAGCCGGGACTACCTGCCCACCATGGTGGAATACACCAGCACAGGTAAGGGGACTGGCAAGGGGCTGCCTACACCCAGGGGTGGGTCATGGGGATGAGGCTGGGGACCCAGAGAAGGAACACAATATATGAGGAAGGCTGTGGAGACTTTGAGCTCACCCCAGTCCTGCCCATGGTGTCATTCAAAGGGCACTAGATTTCAAATCACAAGACCTAGGTTCAAGTCCTACCTTCTAACTATATGGCCCTGGGCAAATCATTCACCTTTTTGAAGCTCCATTTCTCCATCTTTACTTACCTTCACCATAAAACTGTTGGGAGGAACACCTTTGAAAATAGTAAAATGTAGATAATAATAAACACTTGTATTGCCTACCAAACAAGGATGTTGCAGTATAAGGAAAGTGCTCTGTAAACTACAAAACACTCTAGAAATGTGATCTGTTATTATCAGTCCCAGCTCTGCCATTGCCACATAGCTGGGTGACTTTGGCTAAGTCCCTCCCCTTCTCTGAGTTTCATTTTTCTCTGATGTAAAATGAAGGAGCTGGGCTAAGTGATCTCTAAAGACTCCTTCCAGGGCTAATGTTCTTTGTTCTAAGTCTCCTAACTCTAACACTAATGTTCCGTGTTCCAAGTCTTCTAACACTAACAATCTATGTCCAGAGTCTTCCACCTCTAACACTAACATTCTGTGTTCTATGTTTTAACATTTCTTTTCTAAAGTTTCTTTCAGCTCTGACCTTCTATAGTCTAAAAAGCACCGTTCTATGGTCATCTTCATGTCTGGTATTTTATCTTCTCATGGACCTCCCTTTCCAGTTCTGACATTCTATATTCTCAAACTCTGCCATGCTCCCTTCTAAAGTCACTTTTAGCTCTGATGTCCCATGTTCTAAGGTCCTTTCCATCTTTGGCACTCTCCCTTCCAAGGTCCCTTCCAACTTGACATTCTGTGTTCTAAAGTTTCTTCCATCTCTGACATGTTCTCTTCTAAGATTCCTTCTAGCTCTGATTCTCTGTTCTAAGATGTCTGCCAGCTCTGGTATTCTGTATTCTAGGTCCTTTTTAGCTCGAATATTCTATGTTCTAAAGCCCCTCCAAGCTCTGACATTCTGTGTTTTAAAGCCCCCTCTAAGCTCTGATATTCTGTGTTCTAAGGCCCCTCCCAGCTCTGACATTCTGTGTTCTAGGGTCCTTTTTAGCCCTAACATTCTAGATGCTAACATTCTGTTCTATTCTCTTCCTCCCCACCCTCCAAACACACATGCAAGGCTCTAAAAGTCTATGATTCTTTGAAGTAAGAAGATGGGATGGTGGGTGGGTACCTTTGTGCCTTGCTCTCCATTTGACCTCTTTTCTCCCTACTCTGGAGACACTGGGATGGATACCAACCATCTCCCTTGCTCTTGTCAAGGCAGTTCATCCAGATCAAGCAGCTCGAGGACCTCAGTCATGGGGAAAGAGAAACAGAAGGGGTTAGCCATCAATCTCAAGCAAGCACAGTTCATCTTCAGGCAGGACCTAGTGATGGATGGTGGACTCTACAGCCTAAGTAAGACCTTCACCTTGTCTCTTCTCCGTTTCCTGGGCAACCTGCTCAGGAGGGCTCAGAGCCCTCTGGCTGAGCTCATTCAGGATAGATGGGGGGTGGGGGTGGGGCAGGGGCTTCTCTTCCTTTTATGCCCTGAGCTTAAACCTGAGAGCCAGTCTAGGTCAGGAGCCTCCTCCAGCAACAAAGGAGAAGCCTCCAGGGCTGCCTGCCTCTAATGGAAATAAAGAATGCATAACATAAAGAACTCTGGACTTGGAGACATGAGGTCTGCATTTGAATCCCACCTCCTGTCATTGCCAGCTGTATGACAGTAGGTTGTTTTACTAGAGCCTCAGTTTCTTCATCTGTAAAATAGAAATCATAATCCTTACCTATCTCATTGGGGTTTTTTGTGGGGAAAGTGCTTTGTATATCTTATAGTGTTATAGGAATGTGTAATTATTAGGAGCAGGGGCAGAGATTGGAACAGTGATTTCATGGTGAGTTTATTTTATTACAATGTAAAAAAGGCCTGGGATGGAGAGAGAGGAACCTAGTGTGTCCAGGTTTGATCTCAGCAGGGCCTGCCCTCCTCTCCCTCTCTCAGCTCTCATTTCCTGGCCCTCAGTCTCCAGGAGTGAAAGCTTAGATGAAAGGAAAATCTTGACCTTGTGGTTAACCAGTACAACTAAACATCATCCCCTACAAACAGAATCCCTTGTTGCCTTGTCCTATCATCACTCATGCCTTATCAAATCCTAGCCCTGGGTGACCTCTGCCATCTGCTTTCTCCACTTCTATTCAAGCCCAGCTAAGTATCACTGGAGGAAGTCACACAATCCTGCTGACTGGGGCCAGTGAGAATTGATGTTATCAAATATCAACTTGCCCTCTCTTCCCTGATTGATTCACCATTATTCTCCCCCAAATGGCTGTTTAAACCCTTCTCTTCTTTGGTCATGCCTCCTGTACCTTCCTCCCTCTCAGCAAAGAATCTTGTCTCCTACTTAATGATAGAGTCCAACCATCTTTTCCCCTCTTCTATACCTCAAAATTCTTCTACATCATTTTCTATTCTCTTCTCCTTTGTTCTGGTCTCCAACAAAGGGTTGGTCCCCATGCCTTCTCTTTCCTCCCAGAGCTTCCTCCTTCTAACATTCTCCACCCTCTCTCTTTATTCTTCAAATTCTGTATCTATTGGTTTTCTCCCTGCTTCCTACAAACATGCCCAGGTCTCCCCCAACCTTAAAAAAAACCATCTTAAGTAAAAACTCACATTCCCTCAAACTGTCCTTCCATACCACTCCTCTCTTTCAAAGTTATATTTAAATCTGTGAGCCTTGGAATGACTAGTCTCCCACACACCTCAGCACCTGGTAATCTAGTTTGGGTTGAGGATATCACCATCCATTCAGATGTCCAGATTGGCCTCCGAAGAGTCATCCTTAACTCGTTCCTGTCTTTATCCTCCCCTGGCCCCCCTATCTGACAGAGAGGAATCTATCAAAGGCAAAGGGGGAAAAAACTCAGACCCTGGTAATACTCCAAAAAGTGACCAAGAAAATATCAGTAACTTCTGGCCTACATGTCTGTTTTCCTATTTGTGCAAAAGTTTTACAAAGAGGGGCAGCTAGGTGGCGCAGTGGATAGAGCACTGGCCCTGAAGTCAGGACAATCTGAGTTCAAATCCGACCTCAGACCAAACACTTGACACGTACCAGCTGTGTGACCTTGGGCAAGTCACTTAACCCTGATTGCCTCACTAAAAAAAAGAAATAAAGCTTTACAAAGAGCATTTACACACGAATTGAGGACGTCCTCAGTGACAATGCTAGTGTGGAGTAAGCAGGCTTGTGAAATCAGCAGTCCACAATGGACCACACCTTTACCATCTCACAACTTACTGAAAGATGAAGAGAATATAAGATACCACCAGGCTTGTCGTTTGTTGATTACACGATTCCATATTAATCAAATTAGGTAATATGTACATTGTTTGGCAAACCTTAAAGAGATATATAAATGCTACCTGTTATTTGTTGTTGTTGTTACAAAAAAAGCATTGAACTCAGCAGAACAAAATGCCACCTCCCAGGCTCTTTCCCAACAAGCTGTCTCTCATCCATATATCAAGATATCCCAGGATTCCTTGGAAGATGCAGCAAAAATGACCCTGTTTTAATAACCCTCTGGTGATAAACATCAAGCAAGGCATAAAATAGGGATATATATCCATTTAATACCGTGATGGGAAAGATCCAGTATAGCAGTCTGAGTCAAGGACAGAACCCTGTGGATGGTGAGGTCACCCAGATACTCCTGTTTGTGGATAACCTTGTATTGGGCACCTCAAGTCCCAAGAGCCTGGGAGAATGCAGAAGCTCCTTGAAGAGATCTGTAATCACTCAGAGGAATTTGGCCTAAACATCCACACAGGAAAGATCAAGTGGTTGCATAATGTTTGTTGCCCAGAGTCCAACATGTGTCTGCATGAATACCCTCTAGAGCTTGTCCCACAGTGGGTGTTATCAGGGATGGATATCAGTGTGCATCAGGGACAGGGTGTATGAGGGATGGTACAGATCAATGAACCAGGCCCAGAGTTGAGAAGGAAAGTGGTGCGAATTGCTTTCAGGAAAATGCAGAGCTTGTTAATGGACTCCAAGTTTCCCATAATAGCAAATGCCCCTCTTTTCAATACATTTTACCAGTGTTACTGCATAGCAACAAGACCTAGAATATCACTGCCTCCAAAGAATTAGAGATGAACACCACCCAGAGGGCGAAGGAAAGAGCCAATGGTGGGTATTAGCAGGCTGCAATGTATAAACAACGAGGAACTCACAAGAAGAATAGGAATAAAGGATGTCATCAAAGAATTGTATGATAGAAAGAGTGAATGGATGGGCTGGACACATGGCAAGAGTGGACAGCCAAATGGCAGGTGGACAAGATGAAGCGTGGACAGCCACAGTGCACCTACTGGTACCCCACGGTGTTGGGGAAATTTTTTAAACATTTTGTTTTGTTTTATTTTCCCAGCATGTTGGTCAGACCCTCATGAGAAGTTTTAGGGAGGATATGGATGAGTCACACGGGATGGGCAGGCATGGAGGGTTTTGATCGGCAGAGTTGGAAGGAATTTTCAAATCACTGAGTCACAAATCCTTTTGAGCAGCCTACATCACAGACCTTTTGTGAACATTAAATAAGTTCCTTGTGTTAGGTGCTTTGTACAGCTTAAAGGTCTAGATTAATGTCAGATATAAGGAAGGGGAAAGAGAAAGAGGTGAGACAGAAGGAGGAGGGAAAGCGAAAGAAGGAAGAGGAGGAGGAAGAGAAAAAAATGAGAAGGAGGAAAAGAAGGAAGAAGGAGGTGAAAGGAGAAGGAGGAAAAGAAGAAGAAGAAGAAGAGAAGGAAGAGAAAGAGGAAAAGGAAGAACAAGAAATGGACTTGGAGCCAGAAGACACAGATTTAGATACTTAGTTCCTGTGTGACCTTGGGTAACTGCACTCTCTGAGCCTCAGTCTTCTTACATATAAAAGAGGATAATAATATTTATACTACCTACTTCACAAGGGTTTTGGGAAGAATTACTCTGTCAATCTTGGAGTGTTACAGAAATAGGAGTTGTAAATATTACACTGAAAGGGGTCATTCTTTATCTGAGATGGGGCAAGGGGCAAAGTGAGAACCCTCCTGGAGAAAAGGAATAAGTTCCAAAGAAGCCAGGGAAGAGTAAGACAACAGGCCCTGCTGGGTTGATAACAAAGTTTCTTCAGAGGCTGAAATCTTAAGGGGATGAGATACCAGGATGACTGGTTGCAGGTGAAAAAAAGACCAGGAAAACAACAAATGAATAATACCCAAGTAAACACAAAAATAGAAATTGGATGGAAAAAAGTTAATAAAAAAGAAAACAGAACAAAAATAACTATTGATGTGGTAAACAAAATTTACAAACTGTTATCTAATTTTATTTGTTTTAAAAGGAGGGAGAGAGAGAGAGAGAAGAAAGAAGAGAGAAGGGAGAGGGAGAAAAGGGGAGAGAGAAATTGGCTTCAAGAGCACAGACCCTGGCAGAGGTGAGGTCAATACTGGATTAGCCAGCAAGATATAGGGTGTATTTGAGGAGACGACCAATGCTTTGTTTGATTCAACTTATCTACCAAAGTTCTGGCTTTTTTTGCAGCTGTGTGCTATGATCCTGGGGCCATGTCCACAGACTAAAGTATTCCAGTAAGAATGTGAACGATGGGCGGCGAGTAAAGATGTAGGGCAGGGTTTACCCGGTGGGTGCAGGGACAGAAAAAGCCAGGCAATGGTCAATGGTCAGAGAAGGCAGAAGATCAAGAATCCAGGCAGGTGGGGTGAAGGTTAGGAATCTGAAGTAATCTGACTGAAAAGAGTGCTGATGTGAGGTATTGGCATTGATAATACCTTGAGATGAGCCAAGAACTTAGCCAGAGACAGAATCATGGCATCATAGAATTTGAAGCTAGAGTTGGACCTTAGCAACTATCAGACCAAAATCCCCACTTTGTTGATAAGAAAACTGAAGCCTAACTTCTGGTATACTCTTTGGAAGGCAGCATGATATAAAAGAAAAAAAATTAGCTTGGAGTGAGAAAGACCTTGGTTCAAGTTTCAACTCCAAAATTTACTGGCCCTGTGACCTTGGACAAATCACTTCTACCCTAAGTCTCAGATAACCCAACTGTAAAAACCATCATATATATACTTGTATACTGATAGAACTCAAGAGGAAGGTATATCATAAACCATAAATTTTTATAGAAATATAAGATTATGATCATTTCTTCCAGGGTACAATCATTGAGGAGGTATTGATAATAGCAAGTGTACCCAGAGTAGAGATCCTGGCTTTGTCCAACTTTGTAGAAAGGAACTAATGATGTTATGTTCATATTCATAGGTTCCTAGCTCTAAGTCTAGAAGAGACCTCAGTGGCCATATAGTTCAATCCTCCATTTTACAGATGAAGAAACTGGAGCCAAGG